CCGAGGGCCGGCTGCAGCCCCCGCCCCGCCTCGGCAGAGGGGGCGCCAGGCCCGGGCGTTACCCTTCTCCTCAGCATCCGAGTCGGAGTCCACCAGGCTCTCCTCGCTGCCCGAGTCCTCGTCCTCCTCCTCACAGCCGCTCTCCTCCCGCTCCTCCTCCTCCTGGGAAACATTGGGGGTCAGGCCCCACGGGCCTTCTCCCATCGGCCCAGGCTCTTGCTCCCGCCAGCCCCAAATGCTGCAGCCCCAGACACCCCCCCAGAGGCAGGGCGACGGTGTGAGCCGGGGCCCTCATCCCAAGGGGCAGGGCTGATCCCGCCCGAGTCAGGACATGGGTGTGCGGGGGGGCGGTGTCTGGGAGCGCCCCTCGCTTCGCTGAGAGGGGGGCTGGACCCAGCGCCGAGGGGGCAGCGGGGACGTGGCCACAGGAGGAAGCCTGGCTGCAAGGAAAGGCCTGGGGCTGGTTGCCTGGGTGTCCGATGGCAACAGGGCACGCCAGGGGGCAGCCGGGAACCTCCCACTCTCCATCCACAGCCCATGCCCTGCCCCCACTCCCCACACCTGTGTGGGGGCAAACAGCAGCTGACTGCCCCATGGGGTGCATATCCCTACCCCCCAGAATCTCCCACAGCCCGGCTGGGCTTTACCCCCCCTCCCAGGGGCAGGGGGCCCCGCTGCCCGAGCGCCGCCGAGGCACGGGGAAGGCTGCTGGCAGGCAGGCGAGAATGAGCCCCCAGACGGGGCAGCCCTGGCACGTGGCCCCCGTAGGGGACACACGCCCAACGCCCCTCACAGCCCCCCGTGAGCCCAGCTTTCCCACCCTCCAGAGAGTCAGTGATCACAGCAGTAATGACAGATGGGGACACTGAAGCACGCGGAGGGGAAGGGACTCGCCCAAGGTCACCAGGCAAGTCAGAGGCAGAGAATGAGCCCCCAGACGGGGCAGCCCTGGCACGTGGCCCCCGTAGGGGACACACGCCCAACGCCCCTCACAGCCCCCCGTGAGCCCAGCTTTCCCACCCTCCAGAGAGTCAGTGATCACAGCAGTAATGACAGATGGGGACACTGAAGCACGCGGAGGGGAAGGGACTCGCCCAAGGTCACCAGGCAAGTCAGAGGCAGAGAAACCAGGACCCCCACTTCCCTGCTGTATGGCTGTGGGGTGGGGGCAGGGTGTCTGGAGCGTGCCGGAAGCCAAGGGAGAAGGGGTGTCCAGTAACTATGGTCCTATAGTGATGGGAGGACCCGGAATAGCCGCCCCCCGCCCCCAGCCAGGGACTTGGCCTTCTCCTCTTCCTCCGCTGCCTGGTCTCCTTCTTCAGCCGCTCCAGGTCCTGCTTGGCCCGCCGAAGGACTTCCGAGGCCTCTGCCTCCATGGAGACCATGGGGCTGCTGAGCGCCCCCAGGCCCGGCCCTGGAGACGAGCCCAGGGAGTACGGGGGCCGGGAGGAGACCCGCGACAGGCTGCGGCGGAGCGACTCGTTCATGGCTTCGCTCTCCAACAGCTTTGTCCTGGGGACCGAGGGGCTCTTGGTTACGGAGACCTACCAGCCCGGGGAGATGTTCAGGCCCCCCGCCCCCGGGGGACAGAGACCCCCCGACCTCTAAGGGGGGGCCAGCAGAGACGTCCCTCGCTCACTGCAGTCAAAGGGGCCCGGGGCTCTGCTCCCAGGGGACGCTGCAGAAAGGAGGGGTGCCTGTGCCACGACGCACCAGCCGGGCCGGGGCTCTTGGTTACGGAGACCTACCAGCCCGGGGAGATGTTCAGGCCCCCCGCCCCCGGGGGACAGAGACCCCCCGACCTCTAAGGGGGGGCCAGCAGAGACGTCCCTCGCTCACTGCAGTCAAAGGGGCCCGGGGCTCTGCTCCCAGGGGACGCTGCAGAAAGGAGGGGTGCCTGTGCCACGACGCACCAGCCGGGCCGGGCAGGACACCCTACAGGACCCAGGCGTTCCCATCTCCAAAGGGGGCTTTTATTACGAGTTCACTAGCTCCCAGAGAGCCGAGACCAGGGCCCTGTTGTACGGGGGGCTGCACGCCCCCAGGAGACGACCCCTGCCCCATCTAAACGGTCAAGTCAGACCAAAGGTGAGAGAGAGCAAGTGATGTGCCCAAGGTCACACAAGCTCAGTGGCAGAGCCTGTCTGAACCCAGTCCCATGGCACCAGTCACCGAGGTGGGCAGCGGAAGAGCCAGGGAGGGAATCCGGGCCTCCAGAACCAGATCAGCACCCCTCCCGGGCCTGGGCTGCCTGTCTGCGGGTTCTCCCGCGCGGTACGCGGCCCCCCTCGGACGGGCGGAAGGGGAGGAGGCGGCTCGCACCCACCTGAGCTCCTCGATCTCCCGGATGTAGTTCTGGATCAGAGCCCCAATGGCCTCGTTGCCGTCAGCTGGAGCGACAGGACTGGGATCAGTAATGCGGAGCAGCCCGGAGCTCCGGGGAGGCAGCAGTGTCAGCAGGATGGTCCCTGCTCCCCCGCAATCCCCCGCCCTCCAGAGGGGCCTGGCCTCACCTGCCTTGGCCAGTATCAAATTGGCCTCCTGGCTCATCAGGTGGGTGACGCGGGTGTTGATGGCGTCTATGGCCTCCTGCATGGCCTTCACCCGCATGCGCAAGGCGGCGTTCTCCTTCTGGAGCATGGCGTTCTCCTGGAACAGGTCGCTGTAGCCCTCCGCCCCGTCCTCCCCGACGACACGCTTGCCCTGGGGGGAGAAGGGGAGCCCAGCCTCCGTCAGCCCCCCTGAGCGCCGGGGGGGGGACGACCCAGCCACAGCAAAAGAGCAGGGAAAGCGGGAGACGCCACGAAGGCAGGCAGGGTCCTGGGGCTGCGGATGTGACATCAAGGCCTTTTGCTCAGCGGAGGTGCTGACCTGAGCCCCCCAACAGCAGCATCTGAGCACCAGCCACACCCCCAGATAGCAGGCAGGGCTGCTACCCGCTGGCCACATGGGGACTGAGTCCCAGAGGCTAAGTGACTTGCCCAAGGTCACGCGGGGAGTCTGGGGCACAGCAAGGGCTCCCAAGTCCCAGTGCCCTGTCCCCTCCCCTTACCACCTTGTACTCCATGAGCTCTTGGCCTGGGGCGATAAGAGACTCAGCCCTTGGACAGGCAACGGTTGCAGTTGGGCTGGTGTTAGGAAGATAAGAACGGCCAGACCGGGTCAGAGCCAAAGGCCCATCCAAGCCGGTGTCCTGTCTGCTGAGTGACCAGGGCCAGGTGCCCCAGAGGGAATCTGCCCTGTCCCCCATTCCCAGCCCCTGACACAGAGACCAGGGACACCAACCCTCCTCAGCCTGGCTAACAGCCATCGATGGACCCAACCTCCATGAATCTATCTCGCTCTTTTTTGAACCCTGTTCAAGTCCTGGCCTTCACAACTTCCTCCGGCGAGGAGTTCCACAGGCCGACCATGCTCTGCATGAAAAGAAACGTCCTTTGGTTTGTTTTAAAGCTGCTCCCTGTTCATTTCACTGGGTGACCCCTCGTTCTTATGCTCCGTGTTCTCGGGAAACCAGCCCGGACAAGCTGGGGGCGAAGCGGAAGGGCTGCGGCATGCCGTGTGGGACAGGGACATAAAGCCGGGGGGAGGAGGGGGTCTTCCGAGCTCCGAAAGCGCCCAAAGCCTTCTCCCTGTTCGTAGCAGGACGCACGGCCCTTTAACCGCCTCCTTCTTCAGTGTCCCGTGCACCCTGCAGGGTCCCAGTGCTCCCCACAAGCTACTGCGTCATCTTTGGGGTGGTGCTCAGTGCCAGCATGCACTGGGGGGGCAGGGCGGGACAAGGCCAGCAGACAAGGAGCTGCACACACAACAGGGCCAGGTCTGTGTGGGGGGAGGAGCAGGAATCCCCCCTCCCAACACACCCACTCCCACTTTTCAAGGCTGCAGCTGGGATTTGAACCCGTGACTGCGAGGATTCCAGGTGTTTATCACACAGGCTTTGTACCTGCACATGGGGCTCCCTCTAGCCGCCGGCCACAAGCCCAGTTGCTCCCTTAGCCCAAGGGGCAGGGGCTGGCTTGGATGGGCAGTTCGTAAGCAAGCCCCTTACCGCCTTGTACTCCATGAGTTCCATCTGGAGGCGGGCGATCTCGGCCCGCAGCGCGCTGATCTGCTGGCTGGTCTTGTCCTGGTTCACCACCACCTTGTTCTTGATGTTGCGAGCCCGGTTGGCGTACTTCAGCGTGTTCAAGGTCTCCATGAAGTCCCGGTCCGAGGGGCTGATGCAGGCGATCATGATGGTTTGGCTGGAGGGGGGAGCGCCGGGGGGGGGGGGGGGGGTGT